CCTCCCAGTCCCTCCCAGTTCCCTCCCAGTTCCCTCCCAGTCCCTCCCAGTCCCTCCCAGTTCCTCCCAGTCCCTCCCAGTTCCATCCCAGTCCCCCCCAGTCCCTCCCAGTGTCCCCAGTTGGGGGCGGGGCCCGGCCCAGCATTGCTTTTATTGTACGAAATCATTAAAAACCCAAAGCAGGAGAAATTCTGAGTCCCACGCCGCCCCTCCCCCGTGATGACGTCACTGCGCCCCCCTGTGACGTCACCACGTCCCTCTGATGATGTCACCGTGCCCCCCTGTGACGTCACATGTCTCTGAAATGACGTCACCATGCCCCCCTTGGGTGACATCACCGCGATGCGTCCCCTCTGTGATGATGTCATAATTCCCGTGTGTGATGTCACTGTGACGCGTCCCCCTTGCGATGACGTCATCGCACCCGCGTAATGTCGTTATTACAAGTCCCACCCATCGTGACGTCATATGTCCATTCCGTGTGATGTCACCGTGACGCGTCCCGTCTGCGATGACGTCATCGTTCCCGTGTGCGATGTCACCGTGACGCGTCCCCCTTGCGATGATGTCATCGTTCTTATGTGTGATGTCATTATTACGAGTCCCACCCTTGTGATGTCATCTGTCCCTTCCGTGATCATCATGATGCGTCCTCTCCGTGATGACGTCATCATTCCCATGTGTGACGTCACAACACGTCCCCCATGATGTCATCATTCCCATGTGTGACGTCACTGCAACGTGTCCCCTCCGCGATGACGTCATAATCGCCATGTGTGATGTCACTGTGACACGTCTCCTTCGTGATGATGTCATCATTCCCGTGTGTGATGTCATCGTGACGTGTCCCCCTTGTGATGATGTCATTGCATCTGTGTGACGTCATTGTTACGAGTCCCACCTGTTGCGATGGCATCAATCCATTCCATGTGACATCATCATTATGCGTCCCCTCCGCGATGATGTCATCACTCCCGTGTGTGACGTCACTGTGATGAGTCTCCCCTGCGATGATGTCATCATGCCAGTGTGACGTCATTATTACAAGTCTTGCCTGTTGTGATGTCATCTGTCCCTTCCATATGATGTCACCATGATGCGTCCCCTCCGTGATGATGTCATCATTCCCGTGTATGATGTCACTGCGACGCGTCCCCATGATGACATCATCATTCCAACGTGTGACGTCACTGTGATGCGTCTCCATGGTGACGTCATCATTCCCATGGTGACGTCATCATTCCCGTGTGTGACGTCACCGCGACACGTCCCCCGTGATGACGTCATCATGCAATGTGTCCCCTCTACGATGACATCATCGTTCCAGTGTGTGATGTCACTGTGGCGCGTCCCCTCTGCGATGATGTCATCACTCCAACACGTGACGTCACTGTGACGTGTCTCCGTGATTACGTCATCATCCCCGTGTGTGACATCAGTGTGGTGCGTCCCCTCCGTGATGACATCATCATCCCCGTGTGTGACCTCACCGCGACGCGTCCCCTCCGCGACGACGTCCCCGGTGACGTCACCTCCCCTCAGCGATGACGTCATCGCGGTCCCGCCCCCTCAGGAGCAGATGACGTAATGGTGGGCGTGCCCCGCCCCCCACTTGGGCTCCGCCCCCTTGTGGGCGTGGCCCAGGTTGGCGTAGGGGGCGTGGTCAGTGGGGCAGGGGGCGTGGTCAGTGGGGCAGGGGGCGTGGTCAGTGGGGCAGGGGGCGTGGCCTGGGGAGCAGTGGACGTGGTCGGTGAGGCAGGGGGCGTGGCCTGTGGAGCAGGGGGCGTGGTCAGTGGAGCAGGGGGCGTGGTCAGTGGAACAGGGGGCGTGGCCTGTGGAGCAGGGGGCGTGGCCTGTGGAGCAGGGGGCGTGGCCTGTGGAGCAGGGGGCGTGGTCGGTGTGGCAGGGGGCGTGGCCTGGGGGACAATGTGCGTGATCGGCTGGACAGTGGGCGTGGCCTGAGGAGCAGGGGGCGTGGCCTGTAGGGCAGGGGGCGTGGTCTGGGGTGCAGGGGGTGTGGGCTGGAGAGCAGTGGGCGTGGTCTTTGATGCAGGGGGCGTGGTCTGAGGAGCAGGGGGCGTGGCCTGTGACACAGTGGGCGTGGCCTGGTGGGCAGGGGGCGTGTCCTGCGGGCCGGGGGGCGGGGCGTAGCAGGGCGGGGCCGGGCTCGAACAGCGTGTACTCGAAGCTGGGCGAGGGGGAGGGGCCCGGCGCCCGAGGCTCCGCCCCCTCCGGGGGGGGCTCGGCGGGGGGGGCGAGCCCCGGCCCCTCCCCCACCTCGTCCGGAGCCTCCTCGGCCTCCATTGCGGGGGGGGCGCGGGGAGAGCCGGGAGCCTGGCACAGCCACAGCTGGGGAGGGGCGGCGGGTTAGGGAGCCCCGAAATGGCCCCAGAGATCACCCCAAGTGTCCCGTCAATAGCCCCGAAATAGCCACAAAATGTCCCCTAAATATCCACAAAATATCTCCAAATTACCCACAAAATATCCCCTAAATATCCACAAAATATCCCCTAAACACCCCCAAAGCATCCCCCAAATATCCACAAAGTATCTCCAAATTATCCACAAAATATCCCCAAAATATCCCCAAAATATCCACGAAATATCCCCTAAATATCCCCAAAGCATCCCCCAAATATCCACAAATTATCCCCAAAATGTCCCCTAAATATCCACAAAATATCACCAAAGTATCCCCCAAATATCCACAAAATAGCCTCAAAATGTCCCCCAAATATCCACAAAATATCCCCTAAACACCCCCAAAGCATCCCCCAAATATCCACAAAGTATCTCCAAATTATCCACTAAATTTCACCAAAATATCCCCTAAATATCCACAAACTGTCCACAAAATACCCCCAAAGTATCCCCCAAATATCCACAAAATATCACCAAAATATCCCCTAAATATCCACACAATATCCTCCAAAATATCCCCTAAATATCCACAAAATATCCTCAAAATGTCCCCTAAATATCCACAAAATATCCCCAAAGTATCCCCAAAATATCCCCTAAATACCCACAAAGTATCCCCAAAAATATCCCAATTATCCCCCAAATATCCCCTAAATATCCCCCAAAATCCCCAAAGTTCCCCAAAAACCCCAAACTCTCCCAAAAACCCCAAAATCCCGAATTTTCTCTCACCTGGAAGTTGCCGCCGTAGGCGCTGAAGAGCCCCTCGAACTCGCGCTCGGGGCCCGGCACCGGCGGCCACAGCTTGGCCCGCAGCGTCCTGGGGACCCCAAAATCACACACGGCACCCCAAAATCCCATCGAGACCCCAAAAATCCCATAGAGACCCCAAAAATCCTGCAGAGCACCCCAAAATCCCATAGAGACCCCAAAATCCCATAGAGACCCCAAAAATCCCATAGAGCACCCCAAAATCCCACAGAGCACCCCAAAATCCTACAGAGACCCCAAATCCCCTGCACTCCCATCCACAGCTGGGCCCGCAGCGTCCTGGGGACCCCAAAATCACACACGGCACCCCAAAATTCCACAGAGCACCCCAAAAATCCTACAGAGCACCCCAAAATCCCATAGAGACCCCAAAAATCCTGCACTCCCATCCACAGCTTGGCCCGCAGCGTCCTGGGGACCCCAAAATCACACACGGCACCCCAAAATCCCACAGAGCACCCCAAAAATCCCATAGAGACCCCAAAAATCCTGCAGAGCACCCCAAAATCCCATAGAGACCCCAAAAATCCCATAGAGACCCCAAAAATCCTG